CATGGTAAGTTTTGCCGATTTTACTGATTTACTTATTTTACCTAGTTAATAACTAAAAATGAAATACTCTGGGTCGCCAGTGTAACTGTAAAACAAACCTCCTGCGTTTTACTTAGTTCTGCTAAAAGAAATTTACGATGCATGGTGTCAGACCTTTCTCGTGTTCTACAGTTACGTGTTTTGTTTGTAAACTTTGTAATTTTGATCCTGCCAAAAGTTTTAGTCCTCTTTACGACAGGTCTTTTCAGATTCAAGAATTAAAAGCAAATGTAGTAGAACTTACCAAGCAAAGAAACTTCTATTACGATAAGCTGCGAAAAGTGGAAATGCTTTGCCAGGAAGCGGAAGGTAGCCCTACCGTTTCGCGAGACGAAATCTTGGTAATTTTATATGAGATTGAGGTAATCACTTTTTTTGACCTTCATTTACGATTTAATACAATTTCTTCTTAAGTTCGAAGTGCCTAAGAGAAGACGCACATTACCGATATATCATTTAATTTTTTCTTTTTTTTTCGAGGAAACTTCCATGAAAATCGTAAGTTTGCTATCAACTCGAGAAGTACTGTGATTCACGTCAAATTTTGTGTAATATGTTGAACAAAATATGTGGAAATGTTTTACGGTTTATGCAACATTACATTCAGGAAGGTTTTGCCATTGTCGATCAGGAATCCAATCAGGAACCCAATTATGAGAAAAGTGGACAGATTGATAATAACGATTCGAAAGGAAACGCGGCACTTCAATTCGAACCGAATATTTCGGAAACATTCTGATTAATTACTGTTGTACTTCAAACTGGTCTTTATCCTTGGACCTACTAAAGTAACATTTATACTTATTGTCTTTCATGAAGTGCCACGTTACTGCTTTCATCTATTCAATTACTGACCCAAGATCTTGCTGGAATTACCACCATTCATTGTGCCCAATTGATTATGGCTTGTTGTGATTTATCAGGTGTATCTTGTCTTCCATTTCTTATTTGTGAAAGAATTATCTTTCCCTCCTCATATATAGTGATACTTATGCAACTGATCATGTATTAAATCATGATCATGATCATCTATCGTGTATTGAATCAACTGATTAACTGATCATGTATTTATTTTGATTAAGCGCTGATTTTAAGAAAGATGGTTCACAAAAAGGTTGAATGTTTTTGAATAGATTGTCGAATTGATCGTAATTTTTAAGACGGGAATTTCGGTCAAATGATATGACGAAGGATATTAGCGGTTGACAAGATTCCAAATTGATGGAGCAAAATATGGTGGAATTAACTTTCAAATTGTATTTTGCGACACATCTTTTAAATAACTCAGCAATTGTATAGTCCTGTTGTAATTTAGTCGGAGTGGACTTTTTCACAGTTGCATTTACGTACCACTTTTTCCCATTTTTCTTGATATACCAATTTTGATCATTCTTTTTACTGGATCTCCATCCTTCCTTCACTTATTAATCAGTGCTGCTGAATTTATATTGCTCCTCAAGGTTATCCTGTGATTTCAATAAAAGACTTGACATACTCTTGAAGGGTCACATCGTGAAAGATCACAAAAAACTGTCGAATCTCGCTATTTACCTCACTGTGACTTTGCACGTGTTTATCGAAAATTTATTTCGATATGACAATTAAACTAGTTGTTAGTCGCAGTTCTGTCCGGTGGCCTTTTATCGAATCTGGCAATATGCGGTAACTTTTTAACTCATTCGACCCAAAACTTAACTCACTTCTTTCTTCTCCATTTGATGAGTGCATAAAAAACATACTTTCATTTTGCGCAACCACTGACAAACATTACACCTTATCCAATGGATTTTGGCGTACAGTTGCAATTACTGTTTTAACTGTTTTATTTAAAAAATATTTGCATATGAATGTCTGAAAGACAATAAAGAAAGAGCAAAATTTTTTAAGATAAAGCAGAAATGAATTGCATTTGATACAGATAAGAAATATTGCCAAAAGACTTTTACATATTTATCACAAAGCCGTTGTTATACAAAGGTTATTGGATGACAGCTGGTATGACAGGCATTTGTATGCCACATATCAGTCAATACTTTTCTTATTTACATAGTTTATGTTTGTTTGCAATTACATTTCTTAAATACTTGGCAAATTTCTGTTAAGTAGCGATATTCTAACTCTTTCAATTATGTCAGTTAAATTGCTGTCTGGAAAATATACAAGTGTTAAGAATGAGTGAAAATTTTATTTTTCTTATCAGCTGTGATGACAAGGTGACCTTTGCTTGTAAGCTTCGATTTTAGTGTTTGAATATCCACGTCTGAAGGCAGATTGTAGCTTCGGCCGATTTCCCGTTTAATATCACTGCCATCTTTTGGGTCGCGCAGGCAATGAACAACTAGATGATCATCGATCACTTTGACCTAAGCACAGAACGATTGATTACTTTTATGAAAATAATTTTTTGAGCTAATCTGATTCATTTCACAAGATTATATAATTTTCTAAATGTAGAGTGAAGATCAAAAGATGAACAATATTATAGTAAACGGAATACTTCGATCTCTTTCGGCTGAAAATAAACGGCCTCAAGAACCACTTCAAACTTTTCCTTCGTGTTGACGACCTTTACCTTGCCATCATCCTTATTTAATGGCCAATCCCATTGATTAATCTTTTTTGAACGATCCGGAAGGCTAACATTTATCTCCGTCATTGGTGCCAATGCTTAAACATGCAACAAGTGCCTTCATGGTAAAATTACGCAGAACATAGGAAGGATGCGAATGATTTTTAAAATTCATTAATTTTGATAGATATTTGGTAAAGAATGAATGAACGAACAGTACACTTTAATGGATAACATTGTAAAAATTATTCATACATAAATGTCAACTTTGTTTCTACCGTTGTTAGAAGAGAAACGCGTCAAATGATGGCAAATCTTTCTACCAAAAGCGAAGAATGAATGTGAGATGGAAGAAGTCAGTGAGATTTATCAGTCGAAGGTATAACTGTTAACAAATCAAAAAAAAATAAAACAATACTGTAATAATAAGCGTTTGAAAAGTTCGAAGTAACTCATATCATCAAACATGTCCGGAGAGAAGTGCCGGATGAGGGAATAGTACCCGGATATGGGACAAAGACAATCAGGAATAGTTGTTTGCAAACTGCAAGAAAATTGAAATGATGCAGCGGCTAAACATATATTAATAGTTGTAACAAAGTACTACTGACATCTGTCTAGTCAGTCAGTCATTTATTCGTTGCGAATAGCATTGTAATCATTTAGGGGTGGGCATTCTCGGAGGGATTTCGATTTGTAAAATTAAACTTTATAAAGAAAAGGAAAATGAGAAGTTTCACTATTCATCGGTGCTTTTAACTTCTTTTCATTTATTTGCATTTATCAAAAAAGAAAAAGAAATGAGATATTTATTGGAATAACTTGGAATGCAATCAAAATAACAGCATAAAGATGAAACATATGGACGGACTTCATAGAGTGAACGTCCAGACATCTTACAGCTACTCTTTATAGCCTAAATGACACGACTATACTTTATAATCCTAATGGATCTGTCCTGATTTTAGCAACTTCCTAATTATGAAATAAAGCCCGAAAAAAAAAAACAATACAAGATCCCCTTCCAAGTTCACTGTAAACTAGTAAAACTTCAGAACTCTCAATCCCGGATTAGCAGACTACGTAGATGAGTTCAGTATTGGTGCTAGTTTTCCATTTTCCCTTCTCCACAGTTTTTTCTCTTAACCCTGCTTTTCTTTCACTTACTCATACAAAGAATAATCTATACGTGATCGACTTTTCCGAGTTATATTCCGAGACCTCAATATAAAACGCCAGAGAGATCATGCAAACTATGTATATGTTTGGAGCATCATTTGTAGAAATAATTTATCATTAAGTAAAGCAACCATCCTTTATCAAACATTTGCAAAAGAAGCTAGGACTGAGGACTACTAGTTAACTCATTAATTAAAATTCATAATATAAGAAGAGGCAAAAAACAACGATCGAAAATAAGAACGATTCAAGAATTTTATTTGACAAAAAAAAGAAGGCCTAT